TTTAAACCACTGAAATTCTTGTCACACGTCACAAACAGATAACTGCTATCTTCCTAAATACTCCTTTTAAACTAATTAAGTGAAATATATTAATTAAACCCAAGCATTGTGCTTCCAAGGTAATTTGTATATACGATGGTTTACAAATGAGTGAGAATTTTGTGAAACAATTTGAAAATGTGAAATATGTAATATATGTACATTTATATATTGGCCTAAAAAGGTGAGATTACTACTGTTAAATCAACTGAGTGTAATTAATTACTTGAGATATCCCCTTTTTTGAGAAAGTGTTACAATGTAGCAGTATAAGATGTATTTTTACTCATCACAGAATCTATTAGTTCAGCCCCACTGATACCAGGCAGATTATTTCCATCATAAAATGAGGTAATAGAAGCATTTCACTCCCTACCAGTTTATTTCCACAACTTATTTGTGTGCTTGTTTCACAAATAATGAGCCCTAAGACCCCAACATTTTTTATGGAGGACAGCTGAAGTGTGTTATTAAATAATTATTTTTGTATATAATCACTTCTCAGAATAAGAAAGGTATTTTGGTATGGGTCTGATGCAATGTTAAACACTTTGAGCTATTAAACATATTTGAGCTTTTGGGGTCTCTTAGACCACAAACAAAACATTAATCGTGGGCAACAAGACAGACAAAGCCAGATGACGAAGAGAAATCATGATGCAGAGAAGACTCTTGCCCATGTAAGGACTGCTTACATTTTTAATTAAAAAACACTTACACTTTATATCAGTCTACTAAGATGTAGAAGTTGGTCTGCAGGCACAAGTGTTTTTGGTCACCATTAATAACATTAAGTTCTCTGGAGAGATGTCTCTCAGGTCACGTACACACAATGGCACTAGACCACTAAGACACAATCACAGGGTAGAGTGAATGAATTGAGCACTTCTCGTTTTAAGGATGACGACAGTGTGATTCAGAGAGAGAGATTACTTTTCTTATCTCTAATGGCAGAGCCATGCTAGATTAGACCGTCAGGGAATACATTTTATCGAAAAGAGATGGCTGGAAAGTTTTTAGGTGTAAATTGTGTGAGGTTTTTTAATAGAACAAGCTTTTGCAAAGATGCAGTATTTCATCTTTATGAAATCTAATGCCGGAGTCACCATACCAGACTAGAATTTGAAATGTTGAAGTGCGTGGTGTTTTATTCAAGACTGATTGTTCAAACTGCTAGATATATGTGGCCAGATCAGATTTTTATTGCACAGCCATGCATGAGACATTAGCAATAAATGTTTCGCCATTGATCAAGTTTTTATGAAGGCAGTCCATATCTGCAGTTTACATTTGAATGTAAATTAATTGAATTTCAATTACAATTTTTATTAGAATTAATTAGTCATTTGCGATGTTTTATTAGACTTTAAATTAATTTGACAAAAACAACTTTAAATGTTGACTTTACAAATCCTTATCTGAATGTTTTTTTTTTCAAAAACCTTCAATGCCTTACAGACAGAAAGAATCTCAACTTTTATTTATTTATTTTTATATTATTTTTATTTAATATCTAAATTTTTTATTTGAATGCAAATAAGTAGAAAAAATAGATTCTGTCATTTTTTTAATTTAAAACTTTACAGGCTTTACAGGAAGAACAATCGATGGATGGATGGAGAGATTTTAGCAATAGATGTTTCATCGTTGGCAGCGATAACCTTTCTGCCGTTGTACTACGGGTGTCCCGAGTTCAAATCCCATGCTTGTCGAACTTTGCAGATCCTACCCCCCTCTTTCTCCCACATTGCTTCCTGTCATTACTACTGTCCTATCAGATTAAAGGCAAAAAGCACCAAAGATAAATCTTTAAAAAAAAAAATAAAGGCAATGCATGTTTCGTCATTGATTATGTTTTTATTATGGTAAACTATATCTGCGAATTTAAATTGGAATGTAAATAAGAATAATTAAAATTAGTTGTATTTAAAAAATTTAAATTTTTACTGTATTTTACAACCTGGTCTCATAAAAATACGTACCTCTGTGCACTTTTTGTGCAACACCGTTTTTACGTACCTTACTGCACGTTTCGCCGCAGTTTCAAAGAGAAATGACCACTGAGTGGCGCTAAAACACGGGTTCAATTCATGAACCCTGGCACGCTTTATTACGTTAAAATAGGTACGTATTGCTGTGTTTTTATTATGTTGCTTCTGGTACGTATTGCGGCGGTTCAGAATTCAAATATCTGGGGACTGTCGCTAAAAGTTAATGCTCTATCGTGTTGGAAATATGCCCTACACCAAACCCAACAATCCGTGTATCATTCGATCATTCGTTTTTTTATTTAATATTGAAAGTAGAAAAATGAGAAAACGGCTCCTTTTTCGTTTTTTTTTTCCAAAAAACGAAAAACGAGAATTGCTGATGCAAAGAATAGAATTTATATCTACACAGAAGAAAGCCCTGTCTAAACTCTGTCCAGGTATGAGTTGTGTTGAGCTATGCATTAGCCTGTTTGTTTGACAAAAAAAGATTAAATGTAGTTGCAATAAATGCGTTAAGAATCCATACAACTGCAGCAGTGGAGGACTATTATTCTGCTGCGTGATACTGCAGAAGAACTGATGATGTCACGGTTTGATCTTTGGCTGACCAATCAGCAGAACGGGGCGTTTAATTCCCGCCCACGTGTAGAAATCGAATATTCAAGCTGTTTATTAATTTTTCCACCCATTTTTGGAAAAAAACTAAAAA